CAGTCATTATTGTTGTTTGGCGGGTCCGGGCTGGATTCAAACCCGCCACCTTAGGTGTATGTGGCTGGTGCCTTAGCCGCTTGAGCCACAGGCGCCAAGCATTACCATTTTATCTTTATCTAACCATTGTGCCCATTACTTAGTGATCATCAAAAAAAAAATACATTTTTCATCACATGTAACAGTAGGGCATAGATATGATTTGCTTTTATATCATGACAGCAAAGAAAGGCAAGCTTCAGATGATTTGTTTTCTGACACATTTAATTCATGCAGAACCCATCTAGCCAGCTTCTGTACTTTGCCAATTTGTTTCCAATGGTCCGGTGTTGTTGGAATAGTAATGTCATACCTTGGTGTTAATTCACATGTAGGTTGAGATGGATTCGCTTCCACTTTCAGTACATCATTATCCACCTTGGTCTCCCACATGGCTTATTTTCAAGGTTAAAATCACCAGAATGGAACGTATCAAGCCATCAATGTTCTGTGCATCCACTAGCCACATCCTTCCCAAATACTTTGTTGATATTTTGAGCTGTCTGAGCTGCATTGGTTCCATGACAGAACTCATATTCAAAAATAACACGAATTTTTGACTTATCCATGGTTTCACAAAAATTGCTTTAAAAAAAATCTGAAAATGCTGGGCGCAGTGGCTCATGCCCATAATCCCAGCATTGTGGGAGGCTGAGGTGGGAGGATTGCTTGAGCTCAGGAGTTCAAGGCTTGTCTGAATGAGAGTGAGACCCCGACTTGAAAAAAATTGAAAAACCCAGCTGGGCGCCACGGCAAGCACTTGTAATCTTAGCAGCTTCGAAGGCTGAGGCAGCAGGATGCCCACAGCCTGAGTCAGGTTGCAGTGAGCTATGAAACCATTGCACTCTGCTCAGGGCATAAAGTAGAACTCTGTCTCAACAACAACAACAAAAAGGCAACTATGTGCATGTGCTTAAAAAAAAAATCTGAAAGATAATCACTAGCAAAAACATGCATTTGAAAGAATGAGGATTGCGGGCTTGGTGGCTTAAGCCTGTAATCCCAGCACTCTAGGAGGTGGAGGTAGGTGGATCACCTGAGCTCACGAGTTGGAGACCAGCTTGAACCAGGGCAAGACCTCGTCTCTAAAAATGGCCAGGTGTTGTGGAGACTGGGAGCTACTTAGCTACTTGGGAGGCTGAGGTAAGAGAATTGCTTAACCTCAAGAGTTTGAGGTTGCTGTGATGCTACAATACTTTTCCCAGGGTGACAAAGTGAGACTCTGTCTCAAGGAAAAACAACGAAAGAATGAGGCTGTACCTTCATAATAATAAAAAGTGTGGCTAGGTGCCTATGTGGTTAGGGCGCTAGCCACATATACCCAGGCTGGAGGGTTCAAACCTGGCCTGGGCCTGCTAAACAAAAATGACAACTACAACAACAACAGAAAAATAGCAGGCATTGTGGTGGGCACTTGTAGTCCCAGCTACTTGGGAGGCTCAGGGAAGAAATTGCTTAAACCCAAGAGTTTGAGGTTGCTGTGAGCTGTGACACCACAGTGCTCTACCGAGGGCAACATAGTAAGACTCTGCCTCAAAATATATATATGTGTGTGTGTGTGTGTGTGTGTGTCAAAGTGAAATGTCAGAGATATTAACTCACACTTAGTACTTGGTCAGGTGTTATGGCTCATGCCCATAGTCCTAGCATTCTGGGAGGCTGAGGCAGAGGATCCCTTGAGATCAGGAGTTCCAGATCAACCTGAGCAAGAGTGAGATCTCATGTCTACTAAAAATAGAAAAGTTAGCTGGGTATTGTGGTTGGCACGTGTAGTCCCAGCTACTCAGGAGGCTGAGGCAGGAGATCACTTGAGCCCAGGAGTTTTGAAAGGTTTCTGTGAGCTAGGCTGATGCCATGTCACTTTAGCCTGGGCAACAGAGTGAGACTTGTTTCCAAATAAATAAATAAAAGTAGAAATTCACAGTCTAAAACTGAACAATGAACACGCTATTTTGCACTGATTTTTTTTTTTTTTTGAGACAGTCTCACTGTGTTGCGCTGGGTAGAGTGCCGTGGCATCACAGCTCACAGCAACCTCAAACTCCTGGGCTTAAGAGATTCTCTTGCTTCAGCCTCCCATGTAGCTGGGACTACAGGCACCTGCCAACTTTTAAAGACACGGTCTTGCTCTGGCTCAGACTGGTCTCAAACTCAAGCAATCCACCCACCTTGGCCCCCAGAATGCTGGGATTACAGCTGTGAGCCACTGTACTCAGCACTAAGCACTGAAATAATTAAATCATGGCTGTGCCTCACCATGCTTCATTTTTATCTGAATCTAGAAGACTTTCCTTCCTTTTCTTAACCTATTCATCCTTCTTCCAATAGATTCCTATGAAAAACAACAGCCGCAAGGCTCTGGTCGGAAAAAATTACTGTCTTCCACTCTAATTCCACCACTAGAGGTAACAGTGACAGAGGAACAAAGGAGACTGTTAAGGTTAGTACCACCACAAAGATGAGATGGTGATGGTAAAAATTCTCACAATAGGGGCTGGGGGCTTTGACTCTTACCTGTAGTCCTAGCACTCTGGGAGGCGAAAGCCAGCAGATTGCTTGAGCTCAGGAGTTCAAGACCAGCCTAAGCAAGAGCGAGACCCTGTCTCTAAAAACAGCTGGATATTATGGCAGGTGCCTATTGTCCCAGCTACTTGGGAGGCTGAGGCAAGAGGATCACTTGAGCCTAAGAGTTTGAAGTTGCTGTGAGCTATAATTCCACAGCACTCTACCAGGGTAAAAAAGTAAGACTGTCTCAAACAAATTTTTTTTCTTACAATAATTCTGTGAGATATAAGCATAACTATTGTTCCATTTTCCAATGAGGAAAGTGAGACCAAGAGAGGTTACATGACTTATCATGACAATATTAAGTGGTAAGCAGGCATTCAAAGGCAGGGCCCTGACTCCAAATGCTGTTCTTTCCACTCTGTCACAGCTGTCGAGTATAGCGTAGAGTTTCCCTGATAATTTTTTCCAGCAGTTGGCTTAGAACACTCCTTTTATTTCTTGGAACAGTCTGTGTTTGTGCTGTGCTGTTTCTGAAAGCAAAGTTACTGCAGTAATTGCTTCCATTCTGCTTTGTCTCGGCGCATTCTAGATTCTTAGTTTTCATTACCATAATCATACAGGGAGGACAGTGAAACAGTGGGATGCAAGGAAGGGGCAAATCATACGGTGAGTCACCAGATAGGATGCATTCCCACTTCTGGGCAGCACAAATTATTCAAAATGAAAAAGAAAATTGTCTTTCAGTTTATTTCAGGTTTGGGAATATGCTACTCCTAATAAATATCTTTCCCTGGGGTATAATTTATATTAGAGGCAGATCCATTTATTTACATCCCGTTAATCAGGACTTCTCAGTTCCTGGGGCTGTTAATTACCTCCTTGCTTTAATGCTGATTCAAAACACTCTCAGACCCTTTCTTTGTGCCAGACTCCTTTAAGTGCTGGCTATGTGAAGTTAGCAGATCCCTAGTGAAGGATAAAAACTCAGGAATAAGACTTAGACACAAATTGATTATCTCAACGGAAAAGAGGAAAACAAGGAAGGTTACTGTAATTGAAAAAGAAAATTTGAAAACAAAACTAATTAATAAGAAAATCCCAAGTACACATAAGTGTGAGGAAAAATGTACAACTTTTTTTTTTTTTTTTATTGAA